AACCGTTCACACTGGCTCAGTTTGGAAATGGATGTGAAAGTAATTGCTTGTGTGTGCCTCCTCCATCGTCGCTATAAAAGACGATGGCAGAGGCAAAGAGAATTTTGGGTGTACCCAATATTACGAGATAGACTGACGCATGGAATGTTTGTGACGTTGTATCCAAAACTAAGACAATATGAACCCAAGTTTTTTAATTATTTTAAATTGTCTATAAAATTATTTGACAATGGCTGGTCTCTTTTGAATTTCATCAATAAATAGATCAGTATCGAAATGATCATTCTCCATTTCGGCCAACATACGTCCACTCTACCTGAAAGCACGTAATTGAGTGTACAACAAAATAGCAGTACATGTATCTCAAAGTGCACGGCTGACACCCGCAAAACATGCATTTTAACCAAAATCTATTAATGTGCGTTTGACGCACACTTGGCCAGAAGTGTGCGTTTGAGTGTGTATACCTATGCGGAACTCTTGGTTCTTTAAAATTCACATTACCAAAGCACATGCTTCAAAATGCCTAATGTGTACATAGCCTAATAGAATAATACATTAACGTTTTACCTGGCAAGGTATATATATATGAATATATTAAACAGCCCAGTTCAATTAACTGTGCAATGTTATATCTAAATTTAAATACATCTGGAAGCGAAGGCTTGCTAGAGGTCCAGGTGGCACAATTGGCAAATGCACCGCACAGCAAGTGAAAGTTGCAGGTTCAAGCTCCACCCCGGGCTAGTTCTTTTCTTCCAGATGATTCTAAATTATTTAATGAATTATTTAAATTACAGTAGAGCATCGATTATCCGACTCAATTGGGGACTCAGGTTGGTCGGATAACTGAAAAAATCGGATAACCGAAAAGAATGAAAAAAAATGCATTATTAGTATAGTATATTAGTATATCCCATGTAATTACTATATTAGTATATCGCTATTAACCAACTTTGCATTGAATTTTCATTGATGTTAAGCCTAACAAATTTTTTAAAAATAATAATCATTGCTATTGTATCATTAAAATTATTTTATTGCTCACAAAACAAACAACCACTCATAATTAGAAAATTAAGTCTTGTTTAAATACTGGCCTCCCTTCAATGGTCAAGCCAGTGTTGCCAGCTAAAACATGCAAAAATTTAAAAAGAATAATATTAAAGTAGCCAAGACATAACCAAATATTGTAGTGCCACATCACTAGCGGACATTTGAAATTTGCCGACTAGAACGGTCAGTTAACTGATGTGACGGTTAATTGGGGGTCGGATAATCGATGCTCTACTGTATAATTATTAACTTAGATAAGAGATGGTGCCTAACATCTACCTCTAGTAGCAAATTACTTAGTTTTAAATATTCTGAAACCGTGTTGTCCTATTTCTTTGATTCACTAACACAAAGTGTGTTTCTATTTCAACACTTTGCAATATTCCATCTTTATTCAGTTGACTAAATAACTGAATAAAGTAAAGTAAATAAAGACTAATCAACTGAGTAAAGATGGAATATCGCCAAATGTTGGAATAGAAACACACTTTGTGTTAGTGAATCAAAAAAAGTACTTAGTATTAATTATTAAAAATAGCAGATTTATAGCTCAAGTATTTAAGGTGATTGCTTAGCTACATATCTGATTATTAATTGCACAGCAGTATATAATGTGAATGGTTCAAGAATTACAGTATATTTCAAACATTAAAAAATTTATTTACTTTAATGAACCAACACTAAGAAGAATATTATGTAACTGTGACCAGAGGGTCGGCACGGCACCTCCTCGATGCCTTGTCAGGATAGACACCACTGGATCTTGCTTGACCCGGAAGCAAGTTTGGAAGTAGGTCACGCAAGCAGTCACGTTACTGAGCAATCTGATTCTGGATGGAGTGAGAGAAAGACAGCACACCGGAAGTGATTAAGCAGAGTAGGGTAACAAAATAACATTTAATAGTAATTTAATAGACATTGAATACAGGAAACACATTCCTTGTTAAAGAGGGATAATTGGCTTCCATGGTTAGAGAGAGTTCACATTAAAACGTGTGGTGAGAGATACCTGATGGATTGGTCCTTTGGTGATTTCTGGAACGGGTACTTTCTATGATGTTTGGAGGAAAAGTTTGGTTGGGCGTGTAATAAAGTTAATTTGTTGTTCAGGTAATCCAAGGCACTCACTAAGGTGTCGGTAATTAGATAATCCAATCTGGGATCAAAAGATGAAGGAGTAGGAGGCACAAAATTCCACTCGGGTAATGTTTAATCTCAAAAACAGGCAACTGCACACTTTGTAGGACGAAGGACGACTGCCTCAAAGATCGGTCTGTTATTATATTCAACTGACAAACTTGCAACAATAGGTCATGAGATTATGAGAAAGCGTCTTTTTAGTTGCTGAGAACTTGTTGAGTGATTAACTCCCAGGTGTGAAAGTTGACAGTAGTTTAATAAAATGATATTGTAAAAAATCTAGGTCATGCCGTAAATAAACAAGGCTGAGTCTCACATAACAATAGAGATACTTTCACATTAAATGAAAAATTGGGAGTCTAAAAAATTCCAGGTCTACTGTCGGGAGGAAATTATCTACATAGAGACTACTACCAGAATGCTACGGTCCCGCATCCTGGAACATCAAGAGGATATTAGAAACAATAGACCAGCAATGGAATTATCTAAAAAGGTACTAGACCAGTGTTATCTACCGCTTTGGGCACACACTAAATTACTTAAGCAGTGCAACAATTGAAGAGAGTTATTTAAATGGGAGAACCTCTATATATCTGCTGTAACACTGTGCAATACACTGACCTTAGAAATTCACAACTGTGGATAACATTATTCAAACAATTTAAATGATTATTTTACATTCTCATTTGTACCATAACCAAATACAGCTCACTTAATTTCTTTTTAAGTATTTTTGGGGGTATTACATTATTTGCTGTGCATTTCTATAATCTTTCAAAATATTTCAATTTTAATTTATTTTGTATTCCATCCACGCATCTTTGATAATTTGAAAAGTCTGTTCAAAAGTCAAACATTCGAAAATAATTGTATTCAGTTTTTCGCCTGAGGATGGTAGCTATAAGCTATTGAAAGTGTTAGCAAGTACAGTCGACCCCCCTATAACGTACATTCCTATAACGACAATTCCTATAACGTAGCGAAAAAATTGTAGAAACTTTCGTATAACGTACCTCCTATAACGTCGTTTCGCGAGAAGATTGATAGAGTCTGGACCAATAGTGGATGAGCAGCCGAACTACTTTCCTCCGACCCTGCGCCACGCTACGGAGCGGCTAAATTGAGTTTGCTATCGTCTGTTTAGTATTATATATAAATTATATATAAATTAGGTACTGTACATATAATTATATATTAATTATATATAAATTAGGTACTGTATATATAATTATATATTAACTTAATTTATTGTAACTTTATTATAATTATATATATGCTTTCTGCCGCCTGGCAACACGCTACGGAGATTTTAGGCTAGTAAGTTGAGTTTATTATCGTCTGTACAGTATGTAAATTAGGTACCGTAAGTCTAATACAGCACTAATTTTATACATTTCTTGTGAAAGAAACACTTCTTATTCAACGGCCATAAAAATTATTTATATTAATGATGTCTCCAAAGGTCAAGTTATTTTTATGCGAAAAATTCGTTATTAGAAATCGCGGCCGCCGTTTAATGTGCTGTTCCGCGATGAAAACCAGCTTTAAGCAACGGCGTAGTCGAACGGTACACACTCGGTAAGTAATCCTATAATTTTTTGTTTATAGCATAGTTTATACGGATTACTCCCAAAAAATTATACGTGTTTTGGAAATGTTGAGTCGAATTAGTCTAGAATCGGTTAATTTTATAGAAGAAAACCTTTCGAACAGCCTTAGTCCGTAAAGTTCCCACCTATCGGGCTGCGATTGGCTCATGTATTTAATCGTTCCTACAACGTAATTTTCGGTTAGCGTGGAATGTATCTAAGCGTTATAAGAGAATACTGTATGTTTAAAATCTAAAAAATCGCAATTTGTAACCTTGCAACACTGAAATGTTAATTACTTTATTTTATTTGAATGTTGACATGAAGTGTTTATTTATTTTACGATCATTACTTTAATGACTTATATGTATTTAAATACATTAAATAAAAATACATAAATTTTAGTAAACAGTTTCTTGTCTGGCATTGTATAAATGTAGTAATCAATTATACTATATATATGTTTAATATGCATGTTTGTTTGCATATTTGTATAAATATGTCTATTTGACATATAAATGAATATAGATGATTATACATTTACATATATTAGGGGCTATATCTTTGACTGCCTTCAGTAGTACTATCTTGGTGTTTTGCAATGCTCTCTACATCTCTGTTGAAACTGTAAATAATTGTAAATAATATTTAAGACATTTAATAAAGAATAATTTATGGTAAAAACAAAAGAAAATGCTATTATTTAAAACTATGCAGAGCAAAGTAAAAATGCTAAACTTTAAAGATAAGACATAATCATCTTATTTATTTCTCACAATGAAGTGTAATATAAAGAAAGCCTTGTGTCATTTATATTACAGTTTATTGTGAGAAATAGTCAAATAAGACATAACGCTAATCACTCAGGTAGTGTGGTGTTCTATGAGATATCAAGGATCAAACTTTACACCTTATAGGGCCTAAAATGCTTTAATTTTTGAAATTTGGATATTTCTAGTAGCATACTTGATATCTTTGTTAGTTTATGCAATTTATTTTTGCAAAAATATCCTTGAAATTTGAATAGAAGCAGACTTTCTGTAGAATAGTATGTAGAATAGGATAGAGTTTCTGTAGAAGTCTGCTTATAATAATTTGTCATTGAAATCAATGTAATTTTAAATATATACAGTATATATTTAATAATATAAGTTTGTCTTATATAATATTGTTTATACATATAAATACATATTATTTACATGCATTTTATAGGATATGCAAGAGATGAGAAAAATTCCCATTCCTTCAAATCGATATACTCCATTAAAGGAAAATTGGTTGAAAATATTTAATCCAGTGGTTGAACAGCTTCATCTACAAATTAGATTTAATCTTAAGACAAGAAATGTTGAAATCAGAGTAAGTAATTGTTACTGCAGAGTTTGTAAACAAGCCAAAATATTAATTACTGCATTTTGAATAAAATATCTTTACTTATACATTTGTTATGTTATAGCATAAATATAATCTTTATTAATTAATTCAAGAAATACTGCAATGCATGATATAAATATAATTTTTTTTCAGACTTGTAAAGAAACAAAAGACAAAAGTGCAATTCAGAAAGCAGCTGATTTTGTTCGAGCATTTGCATTAGGTTTTGATATAGAGGTAAGAACAAAGATTGAAATATTTTTATTTATAACTTTATTTACTTACTTTATGAATTAAATATATTGTGGTTAGGGTTTCTCAAACAGGATCCCGGTTGTTTTTTTAACCCAGGAAATTTTTCTTATCCCGAGAAATCCCGCAAATTTCTTAAAAATTCACTTTTTTTGTTATTTTGTGTTAAGGTTGAGGAATTTTGCAAATAGAAAGCATAATTAACTCATTCACTGTCAAAATACATTTGTATTTATTAATTTTAAACCTACCTATTAGTTTTTTTTAATTTTTGCTCGTTATAGCATGTCACAAATGGTCAATAATCAATATATAGCTTATTTGTGGCAGGACTATAAAAATTCTTTACTTGTCGGAACCTGTAATATCTGGAATAATTGTGCTTACGCTGTCTTGAGTTTTAACCATGCCCAGTAGCTTCAATAAATGCCTGACGCCAGATTGTGCAAATTGGGCAAGGATACAAACGAGTACAAAGTCTGCAAGTATGAAGTTTTTCTTCATAAACCTGATTATTAAAGCCAAATGAATTGCCGAATTATCGAGCTCTAAGCTTGATGCCGCTATTAAAGCAGCCAAGGTAGACAAATCAAGAATACTAGAGAGCGAAAGAAGTACTACAATCTCGAAAACGAACTCGAAATCTTCCAGGCTACAGGTGAAAAAACACATAATATCTGTCTTCTCTTAAATGCATTAAACACTATTCCAATCACATCAATTGAATCGGAAAGGGCATTCTCGGTGGCAAGACTTTTCATTACTAAAATAAGAATTAGAGTGAGTTATCGGAGTATTGACCATCTTTGCTTTTTAAAATCTTATAAAAGTTTGCAATATTTTGTATTATATTTTATTTAAAAAACGAAAATTACCTTCTAAATTAGAAGTTCATTTTTTTAATTTTTAACTCAATTCAAAACATTTTTTTTGTTGTTGTTGTATGCAGTTTCCAGCAAACTTTAATTAATTTTTTTCTATTTGTGAAAATTTCTACGTTATTTAAAGGTAATTTTTATTATAGGCCTATAGACCTTACACAGCATTATTAATATGATTTTGGAGGTTACAGAACTTTAAAATTACTTTAAAAAATGGAAAATAATTATATCATTTGATTTCAAGATATTTTGTATACCTTAAAAATAATTAATTCTATCCCGGGAAACAGTTCACTTTTATCCCGGGATCCCGGGACAAGCAAAAGACCAGGAAATGAGAAACCCTAATTGTGGTATTTTGTATTAAATTATAACAGTTTATTATTACATTAATACTTTCAATTGGATTTCAGTCAATGGTATAAAATTATCAGAAGTAACATTTTCAACTATTCTTTAAACTGGATGAATAAACACAAATACCACAATAAATTTTCATTTGTCACCAACACAGATCTTTAATATAATTTAAATTCAGACAAACATTTTTGATCTAATGTTAGATCTGCTTCAGGTCTGTATGGCTCAACTTTCTATTTTGGAATGTACAAAAGAACAATGATGAATTTCAATTCTAAGAATAAATTTGAAAATTCAAAGAAAGTATGTGGCATTTACATTTAGAATAACGTGCTAAATTATACAACAAATATATGTGTGTGTATAAATTGCTGAGAACTTGCTAGTACAGGTATACCTCAACTTACGTCGTTTCGAGTTACATCGTTCCCGATTATACATCGTTTGTCAAAAAAGTATATGGAAAAATAAAAATCAAGTTGAAGTCATTTTATTCAACTTTACGTCTGTCCGCCACAAATATTGAAGTTGTAATATCACTAGAAAAATGTTTAAAGCACATAAAAACATATTAAAATATATACAAGTATGTACTGTACTTACAGTACATACTTGTAAATGTATATAATTCTTAAATTTAGATTACTTTTTTCTGTACTATATTAAAAACTAAAATTTATTTGTTTGTAAAAGCTTAAAATAGATCCTTATTAACCATATATTATTAAAAATGCATTAATAAATAAAATACAGAACCGGGAATGGTAATTTATGGTTTAGCCTAGTTACAAGTAGATTCAGAGACAAATAAATTCGACTTGCGTCACCTCTCCTAGAACCAATTACTGACTTAAGGCGAGGTATACCTGTATATTAAATTCTACCACACAAAATAAATAAAAATTGAATTTTTATTTATTTGTACATTAATATGTGTATTATTGGGATTATCAAAAAATGATTGCCACATGAGATTGTGTTTCTTCTTTGAAATTGATGCATTTCCCCTCCAGTTTGGCCTTGAAAATTTCCAGTGTTTCTAGTGTTCTAATTTGATCAATGTGAAGGGTATGTCTGATAAGACTGGCTTGCTGTAGCTTAGCTTCTACATTCATTTCAGAGGTGTATATGGTTATAGTAGTGGCATTTTTTTTTTTTCTTTTTCTATCTTGCATTTATGTTCCATGAACCTTTTGTTAAGGATCTTTTGGATCAACCAATGTGTTAAATCTCTCTAAAATCTTTCATTATGCACCGAGATATATACTCCCAATGCCCTATTGACACTAACTGCATCTTTGCTATTTGCTGTAGCTTGAATTGAGAAATTACACCTGTATGTTAGCATAGTCCCCTGTTTACTGCTGTCTCCTTGCATAATGCATGCATTTTTTAGGTCATACTCTACCACTGTAGGATTGGGGTTACCTATGCATATAATGTCTTTATTATATGCATATTATATGCATATTTTTTTTCTTTAGGATTGATGTGGTACTGGTACATTCATTCATTTGGTTTGTACTACTGCAAGCTAATCTTTGGATTAATTCCTTAGGGTAACTGTGTGCTGCCAAGGTGTTTTCAATACATTTACATTCTTCCAGTGTGTTAATGTTTGTGCAATGAGTGAATGCCCTTTTAGTGAGGGTTCTGAATGCTGCTAATGCATGAACATCATTAACCCAATTGGGATTTTCGTGTGTATAAAACTTTCCATTGAATTTAAAGTACAATTCAAAAGTCACAATGTGTAAAATATCTGATATGTTAAATTTCATTTTAAACTCCAGATCTCAGATTAGGATATCTGTCATGTAGAGGAAAGCAGACTCTTGACTTGGATGTAATGATATAAAGCATAGGCTCTCTACCTTTTTTTTGGCCTACCGCCCCCTTTTCGGGAAAAATTACTCACCACCCCTTTTCAGAAAAAAAAAAAAAAAACACTGACTCTCGTTCTTGAAATTAATAATGTAACCCATAGTTTTCCAACTTTTTAGTGTCATAGCCCACTTTTTCAAACAGTGATTTGATGGCATCCCTCTTAGATGAAGTATACTATATTATATATTGAAAAACAAGGACAGATTTTTAAAATTACTTTATTAAAAGATATTAACAATATTGGTGTATTGCTCAAAGTTTGATTAACAAATATATATTAGAGAGGTTGCAGCCGACATTTTCAATGTGTAAGCATGTACATTGGATGTTCAGCGCTATCTTCCTATAAGCCTAGAAGTTTGACAATGGCGTTTGGAGCATCAGTGGAATGGGATACAATTTTTAAATATATTTTAAATTTATCTAATTTAAAATATATGCTACCTCAAATTAGTGGCTTGCCCCTGTACATCATACTTTCCTTTAACAGATAGATGACCAGTATGATTCTGTTTAACACCTTTCATGGGAAAATTTTTGAATTGAAATAACATGACTTCTGATTTGCATTGGAAGTTTGTATATAGTTAATTGGGGCCTCCTGTCCCTAAGGTTTCCATATCTTGTCTTGTCTTTCATCTAACTAACTCCATTCTCAAGATTAAAAAAAGACAGATGGATGACAGTGGGAATTTATAGGTCTACAATGTTTACGAATTGCAGCCCAACAACAGCTTAGCTCCAGGAGTATATGTGATCCCAGTGCAGAATGATAGATTTAATCAAAAACTGACATATGTAGGTAAAACAAAAAACAAATAAATCATTAATGCAAAGAATAAAAAAACATAAACACAACGTTAGTAAAAAGAAACTTATTACCTCACTGGTTCAGCACTGGAATTATCATTTTATCAATCAGGATAGACACTGTAAGCACCATATTATTCACAATAAAACTAACAAAGTCAAATAATGCCCAAAATAATAATGAACATTATTTAAAATTAATATAAAAACTTTTCTTGTATATAATTTATGACCATTTTTTTTTTAAGATTAATTTGGAATGTTTAATTCCAATAATATTTGACACATTTTTAATGCATAAATCTAATTTACAAATGTTTTATTTTTTTAGGATGCATTAGCCTTAGTACGATTAGATGAATTATTTGTAGAATCATTTCAAGTTCAAGATGGTATGAAAATGTCTTTTTTTCCTTGCAATCCATTTATAATTATTTTAAAATTTAGATGTCATGTCCTCAATTTAAAATAATTAATATTTTCAATTCATTTCATTAATTGTTTCTAATTGAATGGTTTCTTAGCAAGGTGAATTAGATAAATGAAATGAGTTGTTTTAGTAATTATTCAAATAATTTAATATAGTAGTTTTAAATGGTCTGGGTGATTAATTTTACCATACAGTCTTTGTAAGTCAAGATGATTTAACATGTATTAGTGGCTGTGATAGCTGCTTGTGCAGTTTTTTTTATTTAACTCTTACTGTCATGTGTGCACTAAGGATTTTTATTAAGCCCGTTGTGAGTTCAACCGAGCCCACAATGGGGAGTGGCAAGGTTGAGAGTGACAAGACCCTAGAAATCTGATACAGACCATCCATGAAAAATTCCTGGGGTTTTTGACCATCTAGATTCAATCCCAGGCAATAGCAAGTATAAGGGAAAGGACTACAGGGACCTAAATCCTTCCCATTGACACAAAACAATTAAAACTGCTTTGAACTTAAATGTTTTTAAAATAACATTTTCATGGTGGCAAATTCAGTGTTTCAGATCATCTGTAATGCAATTGTTATGCACATGTTAATAAAAGGTACTTATTAATTATTTGAATATTTTTCATTTTTGAGTTGTCCCCCTCAGTACTTTTAGAGTGACTAGATGGTGATCTGTCCAAATATAGTTCGTACAACACTTATACTCATTGCAGGATGTCACATAGTGTAGAGACACAAGTCTACATTGGATCTAAAAATTAAATTGACAGTAAGTGTTTATTATATGATGAATTAAAAATACAATCAAACCTTTGGTTTTGAAAGCCTTGCTTTTTGAACAGTTTGGTTTAAGAACAAAATTTTGAATGCCATATTTGCCATGGTTGCTGAACAACCTACTCAGCAGAGTTGGCGATCGATGGTCAACTTCCTGTACTTGCTGTGTTAATGAAAGTCAACAACCCGACCAATCAAGGATAGGACTTACAGTTCAGAAGTTTAGTGGTGTGGAGATGGCCTTGTGTCATGATATGAATCATCAATGATGTTGCTATGTAAATTACATTCTGCTCATGCAGGAAAGATACTATTTTCGTTTTCTGTTATTCCGTACAGTTGAATTTAAATCAAGTTTTTAAATTAATAAAATCTCTCTTTATTAACATTTATGTAATNGGAAATGTGTATACAGTCAAACCTCGGGTTACGAATGCCCCTGTTTACGAACAAAATTTTGAATGCCATATTTGTTCCGGTTGCCGTACGATAACTCGGTTTCCAAACAATTACCGATAATTCCAAAAGATTACCGATTTAGAATCATCGATGTGATGACTTTCTACTTAAATTACATTTGAATGCGCATGCGGGAAAGATACAATTTCCGTTTTTCTGTACGCACCACAGTTGATTTTATTAACGCTGTTTTTATTAATTAATTTAAATCAAATTAATTAATAAAAACCACGTTAATTGACATTCACGTAATACAAATGGCATTCAAATATTCATGTTTAAATATGCTTAAGTTAAATTAAATGACAAAAATTTATTAGTATAATATAATACTGTACATACTATAATATTAATATTTAGTAATGATGCACTCAGAACCAATTACAGTGTGATGATAATAAAACAATGAAAACAAATGTTTTGCAAATCATACCTAAATTCAAACTTTCCAGCAAATAAAAGTCATAAATTATAAAGATCAAACGTTTTTGGCCACTAAATTTATCGGCCTTCCTCAGGAAATACAAACTGAAAAAACCATTGTATAAATAGAATGTAGCTGCCTTGAAATTTTAAAAGAACGAAAAATGGCTGTGATGTATTGTGTATGACGTATATTATGAGTCTAGATAGTGTTTCCACGCAGATGATACATGAATGACATCTGTGTTGATGCAGGTTCCATTCCTGCTCACCTTGTAGATCTCCACTGCTTCTAAAATTTTAATACTTTGCCTGTCGAAGACCTTGTGTATTGGCTTGGCCTGGTCCCAATGGGGGAACCCCCAGATCGCTGGTATACCGTGCTAAAGCCATATTAATGTTACCTTTTAGCACATCATATTTATTATCTTTTAGTCTAGCTTGCAGCAATCTTTACGTGAATTCTATGTAAGATAGTATTCTATCAAACCTCTCATCATGTAGGGGGATGTGGTAAATCCCAGGAGCCAGAGCATCCTCAGTGCCGTCCTTTGTGTTTGAGAGAAGGCGGAAAATGGTGGGTTTCCTTTTATAGTTAAGGAGTACGTTTAAATTATTTGCAATCCTTCTATATATGTGATGTAGCATCGGTTTGTAATCTAAGATCACCCGATTTGCTTCCACTTTGTTAACATTGTTATATGACTGCACTAGATATTTGGATGCCAGATTGTCGATAAATGTGCGGTCATATGTGGTTGGATGCTATCGGTTTTAGATGTTCCAGTTCCTTGTTGGTATCCAACAAATGTGTAGAATGGGAGTAGGCTCTGGCCACCGGCGTGCAGAATGCGGATGTCTTATATGACCATGGGTCCACTGAATTGGAAGGAATGAATAGGGGGGAGTAAGTAGCCTTGCGGTAAATTCCTGTGACAAATTTGTTATCAGCTACTTGAATCTTGATGTCTAAGAAATTAATGCTATTACTGCTTTCCTGATCCAACTTTAGCTTTAATCTGTAGCTGTTAGTATTAAATACCTTTAACATCTCCCCAATATCAGGACGTTTTCTCCATACAATTAAAATGTCATAGACATATTGGGTGTAAAGAAGGATGTTATGTTTGATGTTTATTAATGACCGCTCCTCCAATTGTTGTAGGACCAATTCACAGAGATCCCCTGAAATGGGGCTACCCATTGGTACTCCACGTTTTTGGATGTAGGTATGTTTGTTAAAACGAAAACAGGACGAATAGCATAATAAGTGAGTAAGCTCTAATATCTGTGAGTGGTATGATTGTGCATCAGGGATAGAGCTTAGAAAGTAATCTCTCAATGTGCAGAAGCAAGGTTCCAAATGTATAGACAGTTTTTACATTTGGAATTTACCGCAAGGCTATTTACGCCTATCCATGATACATGATATCCAAAACATTAAATGTTCAATCAGACTCAAATAAGGCGAATTTCCAAGCCATTCAAGTACCATGATATTTTTTGCTAAAAAGTCTAGCATAGCAACCTTGGATGTGTGTTTCAGATCATTGTTTCTCTGAAAAATATGCCTTTGAAGGTCCTTTTTTTTTTATGTAAATTGAATTAAATTGGCATCTAGTATATCTCCATAAGCAACAGCATTCATTGTAGAAGTGATAAATCCTAAATTTCCAATGACACTGTAAAAGAAACATTCAGATTACAGAGCCTCCACCATGCTTCACTGTAGGCGTCAAATAGCATTTTCAAGATTGATCTTTTTGGTCTCTACACAGGTTTTTTTTGTTCAAATAATTCAAATGTCTAAAATTCCAGTGGTTTGTTGACATATTTCTTAGCAAATTGCAACCTCATTTTTTATTTGAGTAGGAGTTAAGCATGACTTTTTTTTCTTGTTATTATGCCATTATGGTATTCATGTACTCAAGTTTTGATTATTTTGCCATGAAAAAAAGGTCCTTCAATTCAAACACAGATTTAATTTCTCTATTGCAGTTTTCTTAGGGTCTTTAATTGCTGCTCTTACAATCAACCTGTCTTAATGATTAGATGTTATCTGCTTTCTTACTCTCTCTCACCCTTGATTTTCAACATATCCACTTTCTATATATTTCTTTACAATTTTTCAAATTCCTTTAGCAGATAAATTATGCTGTTTAGAAACTGCACAGAATGATTGCAGTTGTTCATAACTTTTCAGAACTTCCATTCTTTGGACAACTGGTAATTCATTCTATGGAGCCATTGTTACTTTTTACATAACCTCTAATGACATTTTACAAACCATACAATAATTTGCATATGCCAATTTATGCACAGTATTTTAATTTTTGTTTAGTTTAGGGTGTAAACAAAACATTTTGTTTGCGATGCTTTTCAATTTTAAACAAGACTGGCCAAGCCTATCTGATAGCATGCTCCACAAAAGCGAATAAAATATTTTTTTTGTTTANTGATTTTTACAGTTTAAACTATAATGATATGTTAGAGTACTTATCATAATTTGATTTATTTATTAATACTAATTTTATATAACTTATATAGGAAATTCTCATTAATTTGAACTCAGATAGTTTAAAATTGTGTTAGTTCGTAACTATACTTTTATCTCAACCAGGGATTTGGAGTTCTATTTGTTGAGGAATTTGGTTAGTTTGAAATATGACTACTTCATAATTTGAAGTGAAAATTCTGTTTGAACTGTAGTATGAATATGTTAACTCGTTCTTTTAGATTGAAGTATTTCCATGTTATAAGAGAACAAGAGATCAAAAAGAACTTTAATCTGCTCAATATGGCTTTGCTATTACAACAACACATTTTCGGTTGTCCTTTACCAATGGACTACCCTTTTTTCTCTTATCTCACAAAATTTGTCTGGTTTTCAGGATTGCAAGATTGGGGTATGAGTAGCAGACTGAGATATTTGTAGGCTCTAGGCTACTAGATTTGGGCAACTTAATAATTTTTGGGCCTCTTTAAAAATAATTTGGGCTACATTTCAAGGAATTCTTCTTTACTTTTTATAAAACCTATCTGGCAGCCTGTGAGGTTCTCATCAGATATGTTTTGCACAAGTTATATGTTCTATAGTCAAGGTGGATCTCATAAAATTACCAAGAATTAGTAATCATTAGCTGGAAAAATTTAGTAAAGCCTATACTGTAACATTAGATACATGAAAACTTTTAAGACAAAAACATTTTTGATTATTATTATTATACAGTAAAGCGATTGAGTGGTGATCATTTATCTAGAGCAATTGGCAGAATTGCTGGAAAAGGTGGAAAAACTAAGTATACAATTGAAAATGTCACAAAAACACGGATAGTTCTTGCTGACAGGTAATTATTTGTTCTATTATTATTATTTTAAAGATAAGTTCAGTTTATATAATTAAACAATTGCTTTTTTTTTTTAATATTTTAGCCACATACACATTTTGGGATCCTATCAAAATATTCGTGTTGCAAGGACTGCACTCTGTAACTTAATATTAGGTAGGTTTGACAATTTTAATGTTGTACTGTGTCTGTATCAACATCATCTCTAAACCTGATTTATAATTAATTCAAACTATAAATAATACCCTTATAATAGCTGATAATTTTGCATAAGTTAATGATTAGAAACTAATTCATTTGTCCAGAGGTAGGCAGTTATGCCATATTTTGTGTTAATTTTTTAAATTTGAATTTCTGGAAGAAAAGAATTGGCCTAGAGTGGGACTCAAATCTGCAATTCCTGCATATTGTGCTGATAACTTTCTAGTTACATTACCTTGTGTAACTAGAAAGGTATCTGCAGAGGATCCAATGGAGCTTGTCATTGCAACAGCAACACTAAAGAATTTTTTAATTAAAAAAACCTCTTTCTTAAAACATATTACATTAAAATAATTTAAATGTAATTAATTGTTCTCTGAGAACTACTTATTGCTGATAAATGTCACTGAATTTATTACCTTTTTATTTAACAAATTTATTTCTATTTAACAGGTAGTCCACCATCTAAAGTTTATGGAACCATGAGGCAGTTAGCAAGTTGTATGAGCGAAAAATTCTAAATGAATAATAAAGTTATTTAAATATATATCTGTTTTTGTTTATTATTTTAAATAAAATAAACACATACATAGTATTTACATTAAAATATAAAACATCACAAAACTACAAAATTGTCTTCATTTTTCTTTTTCATCATTACAAATACCAGTGACAACCCAAAACAGTTTTCACTTACAGATATGATCTTTTATTTGAGGCTGTGCCTCTGCAAAAAAATGCAAAATGGAAAAATGTCCTCTGGCAATTATGCTAATATAATTTACAATACATTTGAAGTAAACATAAATAGTATATATACATAGTAAATAAAAAAATAAACTTGCTTCCTATATTACTAAATTAACATGTCATTCATTATAACTCCCGAGATTAAAGCAGCAATTCACAGGCATGGAAAGAGCACTTGAGACCAGCAAAATTTTTAGGTTTATGTTGACCAAAAGCATGGCTAAAAAGAGAGCTTAGAAAAATTTAACTTTTCAGTGCTATGTAGTATTTGTTTTACAGCAACCAATGAATAGACAACAAAATTTGTCATTTGGTCACATACTGTTTTGTCAGTTCTAACTTGCAGTGGGAAATAAAATAGCAGAAGTTAGAAAGTGTGACACTAATTTACAGTCATTTGTAGAAAAAGTAAGGAAATATTTTATTTAGCTATACAAATTTCAGGTATAATTTTTGTTATACGAATATGTCTGACTCAAATGTTGGAAATTATATTCAATTTTCTCATAACAGGAACAGGATAATACAACCAAATCGATAAGGTTTGTTGGCATGTATAAAAACAGCATTATCATTGTTAAGCCACTTTTTGCTGGCAACCTGAGTCCCAAAAAGAACTAGGTTTCATGTACTTTAAATTGTAAGAGCAGTCCTCCATCAGCAGATGGTAAGAGCAGTCCTCCATCTAAAATACTCCTTTTGGATTTCATTGAGGCCTTCAATTGAGTGTTCAACTTCGGGAATGATGATTTTGGGTTTCACTCTAAGATGCAATGAATACATAGGGCTGTATTGGATAGAATCCAGGAAGAAGTGTGCAGGAGTGAGATCATTCCAACAAATCAGAGTTAAGAAAGGGACTTTAGTGAATTAGTCTTTGGTGTCAGAGGATCCAATGGAGCTTGTCATTGTATCTATTCTTTAAATGGGAATATATGTGATGGATCAAACCATCATGCATTGACTTCTAGTAACAATTCCAGAGAGTTCAGTCCTGCAAGGAAATAAATTGGTGTAGAAGAAACTATGATGTCTAACCAATCAAATGGCCTTTTTCAGACACAAGAATCATAACTTTGGGAAGAGAGAAGCACAATCATCAGGAAGGCGTATTCTCCAAAAAGAAATGGGTTAGTCCTGCATTCATTGAAGAAGGTTAGTATTTTAACTTATTGGTATGTGTTTTGGGATATACTAATTTTGATTACATTAAATGATTGCAATAAATAAATCTGTATAAGTTTTATATTAGATTTACATAAATTAAAAAAATTATTTTTATAAAAATAGTAAAGACAGTAAGTAGTTATAAATTTACTTTATATATTCTAGGAGCACAACTAGGCGGATAGGCAGGCATGTGTCATGGATGCCAGGTAAGAGGACATCAGGAGGAGAGGAGGTGTAATTATTGAAAAATAAATTATAAGGAATAATTTATCAGCATAAGGTAAGGGGATATTAGAGGAAAGGGTGTGTGGGGAAAATGGACTAGTGATGGCACAAAGTGACTTGTGTTGTCAATGTCCTAAATCTCCAGAACAAGAAGGGACACCATGATCTTAGTTTGCACTGGGTGACAGAGAGCTTAGTTGTACTCCTTTTATATATAATTTTTTTAATAAAAGCTTTTTTTTGACATGTCTATGCCTTTCAAATATCCAACCCTTCTCTGAAAACATAAGAAAAACAAAAAGTGTAATTTTATTTTCATGGGATGTTCCATGGAATAATCTTGATTAAAGGATGATTTCACTGATTATATTTTTCTGAAATGTAATTAGTGAGAACTTTTAATCAAGATTGTTTTTAAAAAAACTAAATATTTCATACTTAATTCAAAATCATATTAAAGGCAGCATATATGTTTATACGTAATTATAATGAACATGTTTCTCACCTTTAATATATATGAAAAAATAATAATTAGATGAGAATACTTTGTCCTTTTATGAAATTTTCTTAAAATAATATACAAACTAAATTCTTTTACTCAATATTTCAACATATTAATTTTACATAATAATACAGGGTAGGAAAAAAATCACTTAACACCCCTGTTACAGAATATAGAATGTACAGTACCTGTACGTTGAGCACATCATGTAATGAGCATAACTCTAATCATTTGAGGTAGGTTGTTAAAATCTTTCAGCAGTCAATTCCTTGTGAAATTCTGACCCTAAATGATGTGTCTTATGACCCCTCTCATTTACAGTTTTGGAATTGCATTCAAGGTGATGGTCATGTGTGTAACACAAATCAATCTGTTTTTTCCTTGGAGTAGAGTGTTCCTGACATGAGCAAATTAACTTAATACATTCTATATTCTGTTGCAGGTGTGTTAAGTGACTTTCTTTCCCACCCTTATATAGTTTTTATTATATATGAATTATAATTCATTAGGTTATGAACTATTATAGAAACTAACAACATGAACTTAGCCAAAAACTTTGATTTTTAATTGTATTTTGTAATTAAGTTATTTCAAAGTCACTTACAACAGTAAAAATTTTTTTAATAAGAATACCACATAAAAGCACTTTTCATTTCATTTTGATGTAATAAATAAACAATATTTAAATGCATTCTCTGCTGAGTCCATTTGTAAAATACTAAAATAAAATAAACAAAAGATATGCCAGTAGGTTGTTTGGGACTATCACTCGAACTTACGACTGTTAACCTAATGGGTACTTTACGCGGGTTCGCGGTTAGGATGCCAGGCCTGGATGTACGCATCCTCCAGAAAGTAACTATGTACAAGGATCAGTAAGGAATACAAATGTTTAATAACAACTATCAATTATCCACTATGTACAAATTAGTAAGAAACAAACAACAATTTATTCAAGAAACAAACAATTCTCAAGACTGGTACAAAATAATGTAATTTAGCTACTACCACTTATTAACTATTCCTCTAGGACTTGACAATATCAACCACTTAATACTATATACAACGAATCTTACAGAATTACAATCCTATCTGTCATGTCAATACTAGGAACCTTTCCCTATCCAAGTTTCCTTTGAATCACCAAGTATCGCTACTCTCAGGACTCTCTCCTTATTTCTCGCTCTGGAATTCACTTCACCTCAATCTCTCTTTGTCTGGAGCTCACCTTGATCATCATCTCTGGTCTCGCTCGTTTTATGCTCTGAGGTGACGTCACAATTACTTCTGGAACCACTTTTCCTCATTTACATACTTACATCTGACATAATATTTGCATTTTCTTTTTTTTTTTTTCCTGGTCAGCTTCTTTCCCAACATTTTTCGCTAAATCCTTTTACAGTATTCTTTTTGTTGTTCTGTACATGGTTGGGATGTTTATTTTATTAAGGGTTTAGCGAGTCCTTTATGTTATGTGCGTGTGTGCTCCCCCTTTTTTTGCAGAACTTCTTTCGAACTTCCGGCTTGGGAGCGCAAATGCACGTTAGTTTTCCTACGGCGCTTTGTGTGGTCGGTGAGTTGGTTCTCCTCTGTTTGGTTCCTTTTTTTTCCATTATTGAGGGGGGAGGGGGAACCTTTGTCCTAACTAAACATAAGCCCCAAAATAAAATAGAATTAAAGGAAAATAAATAAATAAAATAATAATACAGCTCGGACTCAGTTCCTCACACATTTATACAGTTTTTAGGTGTTTGTTTGTAAAGTACCAAGTCAAACAAACCAGATTACTTTCAACTGATATAATTTGTATGGTTGCTTTATATATGAAATGATCACTCTCTAATTCATCAATAAAATTACACATTTTTTATTCCACAATTACATTTATCTAAACAAAGATAAGTTATTTTTTTTCATGTTTTCTTCTAATTTTAATATTAACATTTATGTAAAATTATTTCATTTAATACTAAAACTACAGACAAGTTTTCATCAGTTTGAATGAATTTTAGTTTCTGTTCAATTAGTTTAAATGATATTACTAAACATTCACAGAGAATAAACTCCATCTTTGTTCTCTGTTATGGTTACATATGCAGATACAAAAGTTCAAGATTGGCTGTTTAACAGGAATGTCTCTACCAACTTTTTCTGTGAAAAGGAAATGTAGAAAAGTTTTCATTTCATATAAATAGGATGAGCTTGACTAGAACAAGTATTTATTTTAGTAAATGCTTGTTTTAGTCATTCTCTAGTTATTGAGGTTTTGTATATTTAGTACAAACTTATTTATTTTGATATTAGATATTGTTAACTCTGATTTCAAGATGCCAGTGTAAATCTTAGTAATGTGTAATAAAATTTTAATGTAAAATATAAATCAAAACTAAGGTAAGTTAAAAAGAAATTTTGTATAGCTATTGAGATACTGATATATTTGTTATATAAATAACAAGAAATATAATTTGACAAATTTTAAAAGCATGAATTTATAATAAACTGATTATTATTATATTAAATATACACAATTTTTAAAAAGTTTTTGAAAGTATTGATTTTTTTTCAAAAATTGATAAAAAATTCTTGCCTCAAATTTGTAGTCACTAACTGCTTATTTTCTGTAAACATTTGCATTTAGGTAACAAGACATTATACATTTGCTTTCAAGAAATATAATATAATTGCAATCACTAACAACTTATTTTTTTTAACATATTTACATTTAGATGACATTTCAACAATATTTCATTTCCTAAAGTCTACATAAAGCAATATGTTTCACATCTCGTAATACAAATTAACTTAATATAATTATAAATACTAAAAGTGATTTTTTAAAGTACAAGAAACTGAATATAAAATATGTTTGATTAA